AAAAAAAAACAAGAGAATCATGCCTCATATGTCAACAGGCCTCCTGACGAGCCCGGCTGGCGAAGGGTAACATTCGATACCGATCCATTAGCAGAGAGAACACAAATTCCTCTATGATCCTTCTGTGCAAATGTGAGTATCTTCCCAGCAACATCCTGTTAAAAATTAAAGCTTTAAATGCTCAACACAGATTAAGGAGTTAATAAAACATTGACTTTATCCAAGATTGGTCCTTCATTTTTTTATTTTATTCTTTTTGAGCTGACTAAAGTTGTTATTTTTACCTCTCCAGTATGTACAGTTACCACATGGGGTGTAAAGTCCCCTCCTGCTGTGTTTGCAAACAATTCACCTGTACATGTAAATAGCAGAAAACATAAGACCAAATCTTTATTGAAAGAAAGTGGGGGAAAACGGGTGCGGTCCCACTAACATGAAACGTATCATAAGAGGGGAAAACCCATATGAAGCCCAAGTGGAGTTCCATCCCAAAACCAGTTTACCTTAAGATTTAGTGAAAACTTTTGTGAATGTCTGCAAATTCTTGAAGTTTGAAAGAACAAATGGAAGTGATTCACATATTGTAGCTTAAAAAAGAAAAGCTGAAGGTCACTTTTTATAGGAATCACAATATATTGATTTAGTCAAAACAAGATTTTTTTTTTTGCAACACATCAATTTTTTAGGACTATTTAGTATTAAGCTTCAAATCTGAAATCCCACAAAAAGGTAACCATACATTAGCAGTTTTATCAACAAGTAACTGAGCTCTTTTGGGGAAGGTAGCTACACCAACTTTGAATAAAGTGAAGTTGAAGGACGAAAGTGCAAATAAAAAAAAAGGAAAATCAGATTGTAGGGTTTTAGCATTTTTTACCCAAGGAAGCAAGAACCGGCCAGCTCGTGTGCCCTGAATGATGTTTGCCGCGCCCCCTTTTAGGGCCCACCGAGTACTCGTACGACGGCGGCGTCGACAGCGTAAACCCCGCCTGCGGCGGCGGCTGCGCCGCAGCCAAAGGCGGCGACTTTATGTACGCCGGGTTTAGGTTCCCCTCGGCGTCGTACTTTCTGGGCCTCCCCCTTTTCTTCTTTACCGCCGTTAAATCTCCGTTGCCGCCGCCGGGACCGCCGGAGGGTCCACCGCCCGGAAATCCCCCGCCGGAGACGGCTCCACCGCCCGATTCCACGGCCGGGGCATGCTCCGCGCTTATGTTCACGTTTATCAGCCTCGGGGCGCCGCCACCTCCGGAGGCGGAATAGTCTCCGGCGCCACTCAACGGCGGCGAATAGGACTCCGGGTTGCCGCTTAAAGAACCGGATTCCGTGCTGTCATCCATCTCCATGCTGCCTTTTTTCAGCGAGTTCTGCAAAAATCTTGCGTTTTAATGGATTAAAGAACAATAAAAAAGGAGTGATTGTTTTGAAGATTTATGGGTGAAAAAAATGGCGCCTGAGCTTATCCGCTGATGGGTTTTAATATTTTAGATTTAATTTGTCTGTGGGTGAAAATTTTGTAAAGAAAGGCAGAGTTTCCTCCATTAATGGACTGGGAAAAAGCTCGAAGAAGAGAATGTAAAACCCAATTTTTTTTTTTTGTCCTTTTTCGAATTTTTTTCTAGGGGTTTGGTAGGGTAAATAACCAAAAAAGTGAAAGATATTATGTTTATATTAATTAGCAAAATAAATAAATAAATATTTGCACGTCATTATATATGATCAATTACGCTAAATAATTGCATTGATTTTGTTTGATAATGTAGATGTTATGAGGGGTATCATATTCATAAAAATAACGTCGATTGATTTTTTTTTTATTTTATTTCTTTTTTTATTCGATACCTAACTCATGCGAATATAAATATAATGATATTATATTATTTCCAAAAAAAGGTCATGGATATCTTTTTTTTTTTCTTCCATTATTGGATTATATTTTTTGAATGAAAAATCTGTAGGGATATGGTTCTGGTTCACTATTATTTAATTTAGGGGTGATTGTTTATTGATTCAACTATTTTTTATATAGTTTGTTTTGTAATTATAAATAATTTTGAAAAAATGTGGTATAGTTAGTTGTTAGTTGATATATTAAAATAATATTTAAATAAATAGTTAAAATTGATTTGATGTAAAGTAGGAAAAAAATAATTGAAAGTGATGGTTAGTTAAAATTATATGAGTGGATGAATAGTGAATTAAAGTTGATGCGATGTGTCAAAATGATTAGTTGATATTATTAAATTATATTAATAATATGAAAGATAGTAGAGTTTGGTTAAAGTTGAGTTAAATTTGAGTTTTGATTGAGTTTTTTACTATTGAAAACATAAACAATCGCCCCCTTAGTATTTATGCAAAATTGTAATTTAATACACCACTTTTCATGTTTTTACAATTTAATAACCACATTTGAAATTCGGCAATTTAGTACACGATCTTTTACCATTTTTGCAAAACGAACCATGAATCACTGTTCGTTTACAAAAAGCTGACATGGCTTTGACGAAAGTTTTGAGGTATTGATGTGGCCACGTTGTGGCATTGACGTGGCGACGCTAAAGCCAACTAAACAATTAAAAACCCTAATCCCTTCTAAAATCCCTAAATTCCATCTCAATTCAAATTTTCAAAAATCTAAAAATTTGAGACACGAATAATTGGCAAAGCTTCATGTGAGAAGGAATTCCGTTTGTAATGGAGAACATGTAGAGCTCATCCCCTTGTATTATTCCGTACGAGATTAAATTGTGGTGTTGTAGGCTTCATATTCAAAACTGAAAATGAGAATGCAAATGACGATTCTTCGAGTTGTACTTTTTTTTTTTTTTGTGTTGCGATATGGCATTTGGCATGTGTTCTGGATTTGTTGAACCATGATTATTATTTTGAGTTAAACCACGACTTTAGTTATGTAGTTATGTGACATGTTTTCTCTTGTTCTTCGTAATGTTGCCGTGATTTTTTCGCAATCTATTTCAACTATGGAGGGTATTTGATTAATATTGATGGTTTCTTGGATTTCTTTGGTAGTGATATGCACTAATGGGCTAAACGGTCTGGCCTAAAAAGCCGGATTTAAACGGGTCACCAATGCAGAGACCTAACCCTAACCTTAGCGGACCAACAACAACAACAACAACAACAACAACAACAACAACAACAACAACAACAACAACAACAACAAAAACAACAACAACAACAACAACAACAACAATAATAATAATGTACAAATATAAAACTATCTATAAAAATTACAATGGCTAGTTAACGGTTTTTTTTCAACGGCTATTTATTATTTGTCACTCTATATACAATTACACTTCATATATGAAATATTACAACTCTTAAATAACATATTTTTGCTCAAAATAAAAAAGAAATTGTTCGAACTATTACGTATAATTATCGTTTTACTAATTATTTCTACGCTTTGGGAATTTTCACGATATTGTAACATACTGTTGTATTTATATTCTATCACTATATTCTATGTGTTAGGTTTTTGTCTCATTGTTTCTGTTCACAACAGACCTGGTCATATCTTACTTAAGGGTGTAAAACAGATATCAGGCACTAACTTATAGCATCTCGGCTCAGACTGGACAGAAAAAACGACTTCCACAAGAACCGAGCAGAGGCGAAGCCAGCCTCAAATTTCACCGGGGTCGGCAATATTTTTTAGCGGGGTCATTAACCTAGTAAACAGTGTTTGAACAGTATTTTATACTAAAAATTTTGAAATCCATAGGGGTCAGCTGACCCCAGCAAAAAAGTGTGGCTCCGCCACTGGAACCGAGGTCCGAGTAAACCGAAAACCAAAGCAGGTGACAAAGCTCCTAGGTGATAAGGCCTCGCACCACATTTATCGTCATCATCTCTATGGGCCCAACTGCAATAAACCGCCTCGTAAAAGCACTTTGCATTTAATGTTGTCGTATCATCCTCGAAGTACGAGCTAACTAAAGTTACTATAAATAGCAGAAATTATTATTGGACAAGGATCTTATTCCGGACATTCCATATCAACTCGGTTCCAACGGAAATCGACTTTCTGTAATTCAAAATCATCCATAAATAATACAAATTTCTTATATTTCCCGCATTAATTACACGTTATTATAGTTGTTAAATCTAGCATAACAACAGGTTTGATATAGGATATTATACCCACAAGGCTGAACCGGTCTGTTGACCGGTCGAGGAGGTCGTATTATGAGGAAGCCAAAGAAATCGAGCAGTCAACAAGTCGACCGAGCAAGGCTGTCGACCAAACTATCCTTCGACCAGATGCATGATCGAGCAACCTATTCGACCTCAACAGGTCGATTACTTCGAGGACTTAACACCACGCTGTTTGACCTAGTCATAGGCGCGTGAAGGAAGCCTCTGACAGAATTCCAGGAGAATATTTACCCCATGTGCAGGGGGACACGTGTCGAGAAGGCAGTGGTGGATAGCGATAACCACCTCTGACAGCCTACCCCATGTGCAGGAGGACACGCGTCCAAAGAGGATTGGTGCAGGCGATAGTGGCGAAGGCTACCTCTGACACACGCGTTTGGTGTGTACGGACGGGTAGTTAGGGCAGACAATTCATCAAATCCGGGCAGCCCTAGGTCAGTCCCACCTCTATATAAAGGGGGTGAGCCTTTCTTCTTCAACACGATCATTCTACTACTTACTCTTGAGAATTGATCTAACATACACTGACTTAAGCTTCGGAGGCTCTTCACCGGAAAACCCCTCCGGTGTGAGAGTTCTTTGTAGGTGCACGACGTTCAACCGGCGAGAAGGAAGGCGATTACTCAAGTTCCAGCCGGTCGAGAAGTTTTGTGTTACCAAGGTTCATATTAGTTGTTCTGATTGGCTTAAATATTTTGGTAAAAGTAGAATAAAAAAAATGATTAATAATTATCTTTCAAAATTATAATAACCCATTACAGCTCATAATTTTATGTGAAGTAGAATAGCAAAATTGTAATATATAAGGAATCTCGGAGCCTATTATTTACCAGCTGCAAAAATTTATACCGCTCAACACAAGTTAACCGGTCTTGCCCTAACGGGCTTCGGGCTAAATGATCCAGGCCTAAAAAACCCAAATTTAAATGGGCTACCAATAAAGGGCTCTAAACCTTTTTTTTGGGGCTAAATGGGACAGCCCATTGGGCCAAAGACCGTTTAACATATCTATGCACTAAGTTCATGGACTAGACTTGGATATATTTGGTTTATATGATCTGGTAGAAGAATATGATAAGTTGGGTTGTAAAGAGTGGCGGAAGATTTTTTACAAGATTCCAGGAACAGATGAATACAAACAAATACATGATGACACTGAGGTCATGGAGATGCTAAAGAAATTACCTCCTTCGAAAAGGCTTGTTTATGTGTATGTATGAGCAGTCAACTGAATGTGCACAAAATGGGCAGTCAACTGAATAAGCAACATAAGATGCATTACAAGGTGCTTCAATCCCTCCAAAGGATGGAAATTTTAATGATGTTGAACAATGCTCAAACGATGATGATTTTGTTCCATCTAATGATGAGTATGAGTGATTATTCTAGTAAGCATAGACTCTTTGATGATAATTTCGAAACATATGATGAGGAATACCTTGCTGCAAAGAGGGTGGGGTAATCTCTAAAAAATTCAAAAAGGCTAAAGTTATTAAGGAAAGTTCAATTGTTAGGGACTTAGAGTCTGATTATGAAGATTCTGATGGGTCAGTGAATACTGATTCACCTATTTCTCAGCATGGACAGACTGAAGATGATTCTGTTGAGGTGTCTAATTCTAAGAAGAAGTTAGTAGTCTATGACTCTAAGTGTAATCACAGTACTCTACAGTTTGTGTTGGGTATGAGGTTTGTGTTGGTGTTATATACTTAAGCTTTGCTTTAATGGATATTACACTTGTTATTCCTTGATGAATGAGAATTATGTTTGGTTAAATAAGTTCCACGTTCTGTTGTTTTGCATGTAGATAAGTGGGTCGTCATCGGGCGTACCGAAGATCACTATATCAGTTACTTGCGAAACAAGAATCATTGGTTCACAACCTAGATGGAATTGAACAACCCATCGGAACAGTTGTAGTGTCAACCGTACGGTTTGTCTTGACCGATTAGTTGCGCTAGTACATTTATGTATTGAACAGGATCCCAGAGAGGGATGTTCGTTTTATACTAATCGTCGTAAACGAACTAGGCCTCAGTTAATTATTGCGTGCTCTTAACCCGTAAGATATTAAATAGGCATGTGCACATAATTGTTGTTGCTTTGATTCTTTGGGTGAGATCCAAGCCGGATCGACATACTTAATGAATTGGGTAATAAC